TAATGTAGTTGTTATAGGAGAGAATTGCTACGGTATATACAAACGTTCGAGCAGGAGAACTCTTGAAGAGTAAAATGGAAGTGGAACGTGAAGAATAATAAATTACGAAAAGAACTCTTGAGAGACCATACCAAAACAATTGAGCGATTTGACGTCAGTACCTTGAGTCTAGTTGCTTGTTAACAGAAGGATCCAGTGGAAGGGACCTAGTTATAAGATGTGTTGACAACCTGGATAGAATAATTTATAGAGGAAGAGATGAGTAAGGTTGTTTCCTTAGGTGTGCAGTGTCATCAATGAGCAAAAATTTACATACATATCCACCAAGATAAACTAATGTAGAGTGTAAACTACACACCCTGCAACAACACCAACCTATATTAGTAACCTTGTCAATGGCAACATCAGTTTAGAAGCAGAACTATTCTATGTTATGCAGTTTTGTGCTTCGTTTTTCTATAGAACTATATAACATACATGACAATCCTTTATTTGGGACATGAAACTCCTTGACCTCTACACCAGGGAGTAGCAGATTCTAAACCCTTAATTATAATGGATATTTTTCATTTCGTACATCTCAACCAGGTAATGGGCCATTCTTATTGCATATTAATGCCCAGTTTAAATCAGTTCGTGACCATCATGTGTCCATATAATATTGATCTGAGAAATACCATGATCTAAATCTAACCAAAAACACATGAGTGTTTAGTGCAACCAGTGAGGCCATAGCAAAAAAACATGGATAACACGATTATGTTCTTTTGCCTAACCTTATCAAAGCTTGACAGTGAGCGACAGTTTGCACCATACTGCACCCATGGTCCTATGTGCCCTATGTGAAAGCAATAATGCAAAAGAGTGGGATCATCGCATGCCAAGAGAGAATGGTCCCAACAAAATTAAAAGATGGTTTATTCTAAAAAGAATTATGTGCATTTGATTTTGAATGTGGTCATATTCAGTGGAAGAGTCTACCAATCGTACATCACAATTGGAACTATAGATGCACATCAACTTTCAGGATATCCATGTAATTAGTATAGTAGTTGTAACCATGTGCATATCAATGAGCAGTAAAATAATATGGGCACATGTCTTTCTTCCGATATCAAACAAATATCACATATCACAGGGCAGTTTAAGAGAATGCATCAAGCTTAAACAGGAAGTTTGAGATGACAACGCGGCTACACATTGTATATGCGTATACCTTCAGCGTCGACTGGTGAAAGATCGACACTTTGACGCAGAATGCGTAAAATAGGATTTTCCACAATAAGAGGAGATCAAATGGCCAAAAACGCACATAACTTCTTTTTTTAGGCTGGTCATAGTGGGGAGTAACTTAGAGTAGTAACATGCATATGTTACTACTCTATGTTACTACCCTTATAGTGGGAAGTGTCATATGTGTAGTAACATACACATATTCATTTATTGTCTTGTAGACTCATTTTGCATTGGAAAACGCTATGTGATGGTAACATATTAACATAAGTAGTAACATAGATGCCACATAAACAAAAAAGATGATGTGTCATGTAATTAAAGAGGAGAGAGACAAATAGAGTAACATAATATGTTACCATAACATAGCCGTTTCCAATACAAAATGAGTCTACAAAGCAATAAATGAAGACATGTATGTTACTACACCTATGACACTTCTCACTATGAAGGTAGTAACATGGACTAGTAACATATGTATGTTACTAGTCTAAGTTACTCCCCACTATGACCAGCCTTAGGTTACTCTATTTGCCTCTCTCCTCATTAACTACTTGTCACATCAACATTTTTGCTTATGTGGCATTTATGTTACTACCTACCTATGTTACTCCCACTATGACCAGCCTTAAAGCCGCACAACACTTCGGTAGAAACAAGTCAACAAGTGTTGTCAATGTGAACAGATGTGGTGAAAGCACATTTTGCTTAGCCTGCCCCCTCACCTCCGCCAAAATCGGCGGCGGACGGAGCGCTAATTTTTTTTAAGTAATACATTTTTTATAATAAATTTCAGAAATATTACGCCGTAATTATATTTTTAAAAAATATTACCCAATCGGCCTACTGCCGACCGATTGGATCCAGTCGGCCTACTGCTGGCTGATTGGCCCCCAGTCGGCCCACTGTCGGCCGATTGGATCCAGTCGGCCCACTGTTGGCCGATTGGCCCCAGTCGGCCCACTACTGGCCGAATGGCACCCAATCTACTTTCTATAGACCGGCACCGACAGGTGCATGCACACATCTATCTGTTGAATAGGTATTTGAAAAATGTTGAAGAAGTATTTGAAAAAAAATTGATCATGCATATAAAAATGTTAGTTAAGCATTTGAAAAAAAATGTTGCACAAGTATTTGAAAAATGTTGAACAAATATTTGAAAACTGTTGAATAGGTATTTGAAAAATGTTGAAGAAGTATTTAAAAAAATGTTGATCATGTATATATAAAAATGTTAATCAAGCATTTGCAACAAATGTTGAAGTAGTATTTGAAAAAAATATTGAACAAGTATTTGAAAAAAATGTTGAACAAGTATTTCAGAAAATATTGATCATGTAAATAAAAATGTTGAACAAGTATTTGTAAAAAAATTATCATGTATATAAAAATGTTGAACAAGTATTTGAAAAAAAATTAAACAAGTATTTTAAAAAATTTGAACAAGTATTTGAAAAAATAATATAGAAAAAAAAGAAATAATGGAGAAGACCGGCTCAGTCGCCTCTAGTTGGTCGCGGTCCCTTTTCTAACCAGTAACTGGAAACTAATGGGGTGGTTAGCTGCACTGGTGATTGCCATGGAGACCAGGCATCGATCCCCAACGCAGCTAATAACTACCCCACCAGCTTCCAGATGTTAAACATTTTTTCAAATACTTGTTCAATTTTTTTAAAATACTTGTTTAACATTTTTTAAATACTTGTTCAACATATTTTCAAATACTTGTTCAACATTTTTATATACATGGTCAACAATTTTATAAATACTTGTTCAACATTTTTATACAAATGATTAATATTTTTTCAAATACTTGTTCAACATTTTTTGCAAATGCTTGATTAACATTTTTATATACATGATCAACATTTTTTTAAATGCTTCTTTAATATTTTTCAAATACCTATTCAACAGTTTTCAAATATTTGTTCAACATCTTTAAAATACTTGTTCAATATTTATTTAAATGCTTGATTAACATTTTTATATGCAGGATCAACATTTTTTCAAATACTTCTTAAACATTATTCAAATACCTATTCAACAGATAAATAGGTGCATGCACCTGTCGGCCTAGAGGAATCACACTGGGGCCAATCGGCCAGCAGTGGGCCGACTGGATCCAATCGACCGGCGGTAGGCCGACTTGGGGCCAATCGGCCAGCATCCGATCGGTCAGCAGTAGGCAGATTGGGTAATATTTTTAAAAAATATAATTACGGTATAATATTTCTGAAATTTAATATAAAAAATGTATTATTTAAAAAAAATAGCCGAACGGAGCCCTCCCCGTCTCCTCCCGCCCGCCTCCTTCATCGCAAGCTTCTCCAATGGCCGCTTCCACCGACGCTGACGCGGATATTCCCGCAGAGGAGGTGCCATCCGAAGTCCCGAAATCCATCCACCACGACCACGGGAGCAGGGTGGCGCGCCTCCGCCGGATCCGCGCTAACCTCCGCCTCCTTGACCCGCCGCCGGCCCCGTCCGCCGACCACCACGAAGGCCTCCGCGCTCTCGGCCTCCTCGACTTCGTCCGCCTCGACCTCCCCTCCTCCGGAGCCGCGCGCCCCGACCTCGTCGCCGAGCTCATCGCCAACTACGAGCCGTGTGTGGATCCCGGATGGAGCTCCGCCCGTGGCCAAGAAATCGAGGTCTCCCTCGATTCATTCGCGCAGGCGCTCTGCCTCCCGGGAAGACCTCCCATTTCCCTTCCTGCCAGTAACGTGGTGGCCTCCGCCGCCGCAGAGTTCATGAGGGTTTACATCCTAGCGCCATTAGGGGCTTCCAACCACAGGAACCGCAGGCTGCCTATGGTGGTGGATTGGGCGCTGGAGTCTCTGCAGCGCGGTTGTGCGCATGAGATTGACTGGACGGTACTCATCTGGTACCGGGTGAGGGAGGAGATGAAGCACTTTTTTGAGAAGAATATGACCACCAGGGCGTGCTACTACGGTGCCTACCTGCAGAGGCTCATCTGGGTGGTGAGACCAGAACTCTTCCAGCTGCCACCGGCGCCATCGGTGAGAGATGCGTCACTGCAGCCAGTAGCATTATGCCCCCACAAGGAGCCACTGCAGCCAGCAGCATTATGCCCCCACAAGGAACGAGGAAGTATTCGATCAACGGTCAATAAGAATCAAAAGCTTTGCTCACAAGCCAGGTCCCAGAAGATTGATGCAACATCCAAGGTGGTGATAGATGCGGCCTTGGACAAGATTGATGCAGCATCCAAGCTGGTGATAGATGCGGCGTTGGAGAAGATCAATGTTGCGTCCAAGGTGGCGTTTGATGCGGCGTTAGAGAAGATCGATGCAGCATTCAAGGTGATGACAGGTGCGGCATCCAAGGAGATGATAGATTCGGCGATGGGGAAGATCAATGCATCGTCCAAGGTGATGATAGATTCGGCGTTGGAGAAGATCAATGCATCATCCAAGGTAATGATAGATTCGGCGTTGGAGAAGATCGATGCATCATCCAAGGTAATGATAGATTCGGCGTTAGGGAAGATCGATGCAGCATCCAAGGTGATTGAAGCCACATCCAAGCAGCTTGACGCTAGAGCAGGCGAGCAAGATGGTGACATGCTGGAGATGCAGTCACTTGTCCAGACGCTGGTTACCAAGGAATGGCAAAGCAGTTGCAGCGTGCTCGGAAAATGCTGATAGATGTAAGTGAGCAGCTGACACCTTTTTTTCCCCTGTAGTTTCACAACATATATATATATATAATCATATCTATCACTAAATCTCATTGTCTGCAATATGTTTTTGCAGGAATTGCCAAAGTTCACAAATGGCGCGGTACTTATAGGCGTCAAAAGGATGGGTGAGCTCGATCTGAAAGCGTTTGCGAATGCTTCTTGCAGCAAGAATGTGCCACAGGAAGATGCACAAGTTAACTCTGCTATTCTTTGTTCACAATGGCAGGCTGAAATCGCAAACCCAGGCTGGCATCCTTTTAGGATAGTTGCGGTTGATGGTAAAGAGACGGTATGTAGGCAGTACAACCTCTCTACTACTGTTACTGGTAGCTCTGTTAGCTTATAACCTTTGATCACAGTTTATTGGAGACTAATGGCATTCTATAACATTCTAATTACATCTGCTTTTGCAAACATTTTTCTTTCTTTTATGAACTTGCAAATATTTACCTTATTTCCTTTGGTTTAGGAAATTCTTTCAGAGGACGATGACAAGCTTCGCAGCTTAAAAGAGGAGCACGGTGAGGAAATCTACAGCTTGGTGACAAAGGCGTTGTTTGAGATGAACGAGTACAACCCCAGCGGACGCTACGCGGCGCGGGAGCTGTGGAACCGTAAGCATGATCGGAAAGCAACGCTGGAGGAAGCCATCCAGTTCCTCCTTAGACAGCTGCAGTCACACAAGAGGAAGCGCCGCTGAGCCCCTCCAATGCTGCACTCCTACTTTTGCATCCGTCAACCTGTACGAACTTAACTCTAATGTAGTCGTAGCTAGTGCTGGTGGATTAGTTGGAGGTTTGTAGTGGTTCACTGGTTCTGAATTTTGATCGCTAGCTATACAGTGTAGCTAGGCGATGCTCCCGTTGGCTGTTGCATGTGTGTGGCCTTTGGCACGATGGATGCTAGCACTAATCTCAGAATGTAGTTTGTATGTAGCCTTTGGCATGATGGATGCTAGTACTAAATCTCAGAATGTTCAATTTGGTTTCCTCTATCGTCAGAATGTGTAAACTCCATTGGTTGACTGTCGGTGTGTGCTGTCTTTGCCAAGAAATCTACTGTGTTATTGAGAATTTGGGTACTGATGAAACTACATGAGGTTGGAGTAAGCAGAGGAGCAGCTGAGCTGGGGAGCGGAGTAGCTCAAATTTGACAATGCGTGTCTGCCGGCCTGTTTGGCCGCATTGTCCCTGACGTGCTGGTCCCGCTAGTGTTAGCCGTCGTGGTCGTCGCCAGCGCCGTCGGCGTGTGGGAGGACGATGACGAGGACGAGAACGCTGAGGTAGGATCTCTACTCGTAATGGAGCGGTTGGTGAATAGTATTCACGGTTAATTTTCGTTGGTTATTTTTCGTCCGGTTTTTTTGTTCCACCTCCCACCACCCCCCTCGTAGGTAACACTAGATCGGCAGCGCGCCTTGGCGCGAGGGTGCCAGTCCAACCGATATGCCAAGCGATGGAAGATCAAACTGCATGATGCAGCAGTAGGAAGCAAGTTTAGCACATGTAAAACGTCAACAACTGATTTTCTGGTTCATGGGAAAGAATAAACATTCCAGAAGAGTAACATCATCGAGTTCAACAAAATCATGAGATTGTAAAAATTAATCCACCCGAAGTAGCACAACATCAAGTTCAATGCAGTCATGAGATTACAAAAACAAATTAGCTCACATTAAGTTCGGTTATACGAGTAGGAACATAAGAGAGCAAAAGCCACCACAACGGCAATGGAAGTGATAAAACTATGAAGTCATAGTTAGGCATAGATAGCTTGGTTCAACTGCCTCCATGAGTGCCATTCCATTATGATGACCACATAATGGTTTTGTATAGAAAATGCACTTGTGATTTCCCTCTAAAACGTATGTACAGTGAGCGATGGTTTTCCCTCCTAATCTTGAAGGCGATCGCCTTCGACAACAGATGGATCAAGGTGCCCCTCATCTGCTGAGCTCCGGTCGAGCTCTCCTCCTTCCCCTTCCAGCGAGAGACGTGACTTGCTTCCATTCTATAGAGATTGTTGTAAAGCTGTATGTAGTTCATTTCTTCAAAGATCTTTATATAGTGGAGTCACCAGCCGCTCTGCATTCATGACTGCATCCGGTTCTGTATTAAACTAAAGGCCCTAGCATTTGTTAAGCTTGTGAGCAGCTCCCATAGTTCAAGATCGATCAATCAAGAATTTGGGGGAAAGCTAAATGGCATCGGTACCAGCAACTACAAATTTCAACCAAGTAGGCAAGAGTCTACACATAAGATGTCACAGATATAGAAATGTTCCTCAATTGCTTCATTTGTGATAGAACACAAGAGGTTTACAGTTATATAACTCTGGCCAGTTATGATGAATAGATGTACATTAGATGCTTTAAGGTCCAAGTTTTTCTGGTTGGGGCACTGAATGCTCACAAAATGGCAGAAAGAAGAGAAAATGCATGGTGTCTTTATTTCTTATCTTCTAGGTCTAATTGACAGTTCAGTGATTGTTGCCAAACCGTACCAGTAACTATTGTACTTACCAAGTACATAACCTCCCAGTATCTCTCTAATATTGCATTTGCTACTCGAAAGGTCAAAAGAACAAGGGAATCAAACTGCAAGTAAACATACCTCTCCTAGCGATAGAAATATACTATCAAATCTAAGGGTGTACTACATTTGAAAGCACAGTTTCATGATAAGAGAAGTGAAAAAAATGAAAGAAATATATGTAAAGAAAATTGAGTATACCTTACCCTGAAGGTATCCATCTCCCTAAAATTAGTCCCAAAGAGTTGGTTCAATGAGGTACTCTTTCCTGCTCAAAATCGGAATATGATTAATCTTATGTCAACTAAATTCTGAAGTACGTACTGTCGATTTGTGATAAAGGGCAGGAAGTCCACAACTCACACTTATCATCCAATAATACATGTTTAAGTTCAGTATTATACTATCAGTGAAATGATGAAAATACACATTCTCCAGTTAAATGTCAGAGAAGACTAACAAATAACCCCCAGGAGAAAGGATATATAGTGCAATTATAATTAATTATTTATCAGTGGACTCTGATTCTTATATGTCACTCGTGTTAGCAAGTGAAGGGCTTCAAAATAGATATGCACGGACACACTACTTTTACAATAAACACATGCCACCAAGTTGAGGTTGCAAGGATCAATGTAAATGTAGCATTAATCAACAAAAACAAATTTAGCACCAACAATGTATGTGACAAGTCTGTCCAAAACCATGATATACTTGTAGGCAAAAATAGTGAGGCTGCGGTCGATCCACATGCAGCTGCAAATATAACCAATGTGCCTCACTATAGAAACAGTGAGTGTAGAATTTTGTCATTGACATTAGAAGTTAAAAGAAAAGGACCGCATCCAGAAACAAAATCACCATAATTGTTGAATAAAGAGTTGAGGAAATCTGCAAAAACATGATTCTCGCTTGAATATAAATCTACTTCTAGTAATGTGATTCCAGTCTGTAAATACTATGGATTTACTGAACGTTCTAAGCCTCTAATTATTATTTACAAAGTTACCACCTGATTATCAGTTTGGACAAAGTTGCATGATGAATACATATCAAACAAATACTCCTACTCCTAGATTGTCACATGACCTGTTATTAAAGCTAAGGTGTGTATACCAGAGAAAAATATTTTTTTTCTTGTATACCAGATAAAAATCATGTAAAAACATTTAACCCATATAGGAAGCAACATAAACTTACATTGTTCTGTGTTTTAACCTGATTGAGTGAATCGAAAAAAGCACTGTATGCCTTTGTCTTTTAGCAGCCTCTGCAATTCATCAAAACTGCACCAATATAAAAAGTAAGAATAGCATTGTAACATGGTTCTATATTCCAAAGAAGTATGCATCATGATTAGGGGTGGGCAGAAAAACCGACTACCGAACACCGAACCCGAATAAACCGAGACCGAACCGAAAAAAACCAAGGACCGAAACTTCGGTTGTTACATCGGTCAGCAAATGTGCAAAACCGAACTAAGTTCGGTGAGTTCGGTGCTCTGCCTCGGTTGACCGATTAACCGTATTATCCTTATCCTCTATATGCAGCCCAACAAATCTTGGCCCAACAATCCATTTACTCTTCACGTGAATTCTTTTTTTATCCGTGCACACAAGTTGTCCCATCTGGGCCAGCTCAACCCCAACCTGTCCGACGACCCTGTCTCCTACGACTCCCCCAATCGAGGTGCCGCCGCCCAAGGGATTACATGCTAGATTCCCCCCACCTCGCAGCATCGCAGGCCGCCGCCGCGCCGCCGCCTATGGCTTCCAATGGCTTGTACGCTGTCGGGGCGCCGCCGCCCAATGATTTGATCTATATTTGGATGATTTTTTTTTCAGTTCCTCTGCCTCGATCTGATGTTGTGGATTTACATCGGGTGATTCGGTCAAACCGAAGACCAAAACCGAATTTGCGGTGCACCGAATCCTCGGTTATCAGAATTTCTGTTAACCGATCGGTCTTCATTTTCTGGGAACCGAATTTCTGTAAACACCGAAGCACCGAACCGAATTCTTCGGTGCAACCGAATGCCCACCCCTAATCATGATCACCATACAATTGTGTATAAAGAAACACTATGCAACGACAAAAACAGTAAGCATTTGGAAATAAGATACATGGCACACACATGCATAATTACTGTGTCTGAATTATCAAGAAATACTATGCAACTACACACATAGTAAACATTTGGAAATTAGAAATACAACAAACCCATGCATAAATGATGTATATGAATTCTCGACCTTATAGTAGTTGGTATGCCCTCTATACATTTGCTTTCTACTCATCAGCAATTCACATATAATTTGCCTCTAGTATCAACCTACAAAATCATTCTACGTGGCTGACGGTGCTGATCATCTGGTTTTACTTTAAAAATAGAACTGAAGATTTTTTTTCATCCTTGCAATTTGTAAAAACTACAGTATTGCGATCACTTTCTAAAAAATAGCGTATGCAGAAGTGAAAATGAATCATGACTGACTATTGATGTATAGCGAGACACTGGCACATGAATGAATCATCCGACTCTGTTCAGCGATAATTTGCCACACTTTCTCATTAGTCATTACTAACACAACCTAAACATCACATGCAGAGATGATGTTGCTGGTGCAAGAAAAAAGCGAATCAAATTTGCATTTATCCTGCAATAGTGTTATAAACTACACATATTTGTCCTGCCAACAACAATAAGCAATAACAACAAAAGAATGCAATTCGTTTAGGGGAACCATGCAATGCAAATTTAATGGCCTGATTAACATTTATAATATGATAAATCATGCAACAATAGTTATGGGACGACACTCAGCTCCATAAGATGATGAGACTAATGGTTTTCTTATGTTTCTCTCCATGATGATGATGATGATGATGATGATGATGATGATAAAGAAGAAGAAGAAGAAGAACACACCTCTCACTCTCTTGCATATGACCTCCTTGCAAGAATCATTGAAGAGCCCGAGAAGCTCGTCGACGGCGGGGAAAACGGGTGGCGCGACATCGAGCAAGGGCGGCGACGACTGCCAGACCACCTCGAGCACCACGGTCCAGAAGCCAAGAGCATGAGCAGACCAAAATCAGAATGGATTAACTAGGAAACCCTAGACAGATCCCTAAAAACAACAAACCCTTGATGAGAAGGGAGCAAATA